GCGACGACGACGACGAGGACGAGGACGACGACGACGACAAGGGCGACGACGACGACGATCAGCGGTGAATCAGCGGTGAACCAGCGGTGAATCAGTGGTGAACCAGCATTGAACCATACGTAAATATTCGTTGAAGTAGAGGTGGGCCGGCGGTGAATCAGCGGTGAATCATCGGTGAATCGTCGGTGATTTACCCCTCTGCACATACTCTGCTACATGATCGTCTTCGTCGTCGTCCTCGTCTTCGTTCATACCTCCCTCCACCATCGCTCTCATCATCGTCGTTCCCTGACCCTCACTCCCCACTCCCCCCTCGCCCATCCTCTCAGCATCGTCAGTTCTGCGTCTGCGTCCTCTTCCTTCCACCCCCCCTCTCCCGCGGCGCGCCGCCGCGCCGGGCGGGGAGGCGGGCGTCCACGAGGCCGCGGCTGGCGCTCTGAGAGGATGACTGGCAACAAGAAGGAGCAGAAAGCATTGGAGCGATATCCGAATGCATTCTGCTCCGCTGTAGCGGGCCTTTTGGCCCCCTCGCTTCGCGAGGACCCGTGACTTAGTTCCCCCTCGCCTCTTCCCCGCGCCATCGCATCCTATTCACTCGTGTCGGGTGTGCGCATGCTTTGTTTACAAAGCGATTGCGAACCTGTGCGATTTCGCGTTGGTGGTACACTCCGCAAGAAAAACGGCTACCATCCTCGCTGACAGCAGCTGCGATAGGCTGTAATTCGCCAGTTCCCGAAGGTAAGTTTTCACCATGTGTGCATGCCCTGTGCGATCCCGGCAATATTGTTCATTCGAGCTCCGTCGATTGCACTGCGCTTGAAAGGCGTTCGAAAACATGCCCGATCGCTAGCTTGATGCGTCATTGCTATCATTGTCCTTCTCTCCCCCTCTTCCTCTTCGCTGTGCTATCTGTGCATCGGTGCGCCGTTCGGACAATGGGGATGGAATGGGAGATGAGAGGTTAGCGGAGTGGGAGGGGATAGGAGAGGTTGAGGTACTGAGGGAGAGACTGTGCGAGGACACGTTGAAGGTGGGAAAGTGTGGGTGGGGGGATGGGGGTCTCGCTTCCTTCATGGGGGTCTCGCTTCCTTCGGCACCGTGCAATGCCCCGTGCGCCCTGCTCGTGGCCAGCGTGCAATATACTCGTTGCACTCGGGCGCGCGCGGTCTGCATCATGAGAAATGGCGCGTTGACAACGACTTGCCCGCGCCTGCAACAATTGCGCATGCGAGTTGTTGCGTGTGCGTGTGTGTGTGTGTTCATATGTTTCGGACCACGTGCGTTCTTATACTAAGATCTAAGGTTCTTATTTTAAGACTTTCGTGTTCTTAAATGATCTATCCGACTAGGGGGGGCCGGCCGGGGCCAGGGCCGGGGCCGGGGCTGGGATTCGGGCCGGGGCCGGGGCCGGCCGAGGAGGCCGAGGCCGGGGCCGGAAGCGGGGCCGGGGCTGCAGCCATGAGGCTGGACTGGGGCGGGGGCCGGGGTTGGGGCGTGGTGGAACGCTTCAGCTCCCATGAGGCTTTGCGCGGGCCCCGGGGCCCCCGGGGGGGGGGGTCGGGAGTCGTATCTGACGCAAGACCCTTGCGACCCCCCCCTCCGGGCAGGAAATGGATCATCGAAGGGAAGGGGCTTCTCTTCGATTCAGTGACAGCGTTGCTCTTGAGGGGGGGGCCCAGGGAAAGCGGGGGGGGGGCGGCGACGGACCCAGGGAAGAGGGGGAAAGGGGAAAAGGGGAGACGGGCCCAGGGAAAGGGGGGGCGCAGGGACAGGAGACGACCGGGCCAGGGTGGGCGCAGGGACAGGAGACGACGGAGACGACGACGAACGATCGACGTGAACGGACAAACCCCTCACACACGCCGACAAAATGTCGGCTGATTTTTTGCAGAATGACGGGGGGTCGATACCGGTTGGGCTGGGATGATACGGGTTCATCTTTAGGCTGGGTGATGTAGCAGAGTCGCATGTATTTTGCAACGCGGGAAAGTGTGCGGATAACCCTTGGGGGAATATATATATATATATATATATATATATATATATATATACACAAAACATCGAACGGCGGCGACGAGCAGCGACGGCGGCGACGGGGTGGCGACGGCGACAACATAGCCGCCAGAACGACAGACAGGCTCAGCTTCGGGCGGCGACGAGGCGGCGACTGGCCGACAACGGCAATCGGGCGACGACGGCAACAACATAGCATCCAAGCCGACACGCAGGCCCAGTCCCTTAGAAAAGAAAGAAGAACCCTTCAGTGCAATCATCGTTTGGGGGGCAGGGGGGGCAGAAGAATCCCGCAGGGGGGGCGGGGGGCCCTGGGCCGCCCAGTCGGGCAGCCGTTTCGCATGAAGCTTCCTCAAGTTATTAATTGAACGCCCCTGAGGGGGCAGACACCGCCGCCCCATTGTTTTTTTTGGAGCGCGGAGGTTGCGTGGGGGCAAATCGGGATGTAGTGGGGGTGTTCACTCAGCTTTGGCTGGGCTTTTGTGCAGTGGGGTCTTAAAGACTCTCAGAAAGCCCCAAGAGAGCCGGAAAATGACCAAAAAAACGCCCGACTGGGCAATGGGGTCTCAGAGGGCTTTGAAACATACGAAAGCGGGGTCTCACAGGCTCTCAGAAAGCCCCGAGAGAGCCGGAAAATGACCCAAAAAGACGCTGGAAAACCGTAAGAGAGCTCGAGAATGATTTGAAAAGGACGCCTGGGCGCGTGCAAAAGTACGCGCGAAAGGAAGAGACGCGCGGAAAGGCGTACAAACGAGATGCGAGTTAGTTCGGGGGCCTCAAAAGGGACTCCGGGGACCCCCCGGGCGCGCCCAGGACGGCCCAAGAAAGCCCCAAAAATGTTGCCAGACGGCCCAGGCCGGGGTCGGGAGGCGCGGAGGACAGCCGCAGAGAGCGCCCGCTGATTCCAACGTGCTTCCAAGAGCCCGCGAAGACGCACGTGAGCTCGAAACGAGGCAAGAATAGAGGCTCGACAAGGCCAGCATGGATAATCATATGTGTTTTACGATGTTGTTTGCGTGTTGGTTTTTTGTAGTCGAAGTGGGCCGAGGAGAGGTGGGCGGGCTGCCAGGCTGAACCCAAATGGCTTGGGGGACGGCCAAGATCGCCCCAGGAGAGCGTCTGGGGGCTTCCAAAATCGAGTCAGTGAGCTCCCGGAGAGGCCTCTGAGAGAGGCCGGCGGCGCCTTGAAGACGAACATTTCCAACGAGGTGTGTTCTGAAGCGGAAATGATGGCCAAGGAGCGCCCATTCCGCAGCTGTGGCCCCCGGGCCGGCGGAATGAGCAGGCCGCGGGGAGGGCCCCAGGAGGGGTTGCAAGGGCTCTGAGGAATGGGCATTGGTACGAGGAGTTCGTGTGCGCGCAGATTGAGGGGGCTGAGTTCGTGCAGACCATGCGGCGGGGATCTCGCGCGCCGTTCCCGGTGGGGCGGCGGATCGCTTCGCTCGTTCCGCCGGCCCCGGAGCCCTCTTTAGGGCCTCTTGGGGGCCTCTTGGGGACCTCTTGGGAGTCTCTTGGGGCTCCTTGGCGGCGTCTCGGGGGCCCCCGGGGCCTCTTGGGGGGCTCCTGGGGGCCTCTCGGGGCGGGAGGGGGGCAGTCGATTGCGGCCCCCCCCATCGGCGGCCACGATCCTTGTAAGGGGTGTTGAAAAATGGCCTTCCCCTGGAGTGCTCTGGCGGCTTCTCCCGGGATCTTGCCAGGGTACTTGTCGTCCGGAGGCCCCCAGGGGCCGCTCCGCGCGCGCGCAAATTAGAAATATTGTTAACCAGTCGACGGAGATCTGAGCACGCCTCTGGCCCTTTGGGCCAGCGAATTCGGGATTCGCCTTCTCGCTCCAATGCCAGCTGCACGTTCGGTCCTGACGGCCACGATCCCTTGCAAAACGAACTGAAGAGCACACGGCCGTGCTCTCACCCCTGTCCTGGCTGCATCTGCTATCTCCCAGAGCCTCCGACCGTGCTTCTCTCATTCCTCGACCTGCTTCCTCCTCGCTGTTGCTATTCGGATACTGAGCTGGGGCGTTTCTTCAACGAGAAGCCGGCGTCACCCCAACATAGTTAATGGCATGTTTCCGTCGCCCCCCCCCAGGGTCCTTGCGCGCGAGAGAAATCTTGTAGTATCGGTGCCATCGCTTCCGAGCGGCTCTGGCCACGCTGGCGCGGAAGGCGAAGGCCACGCAAAACCGACTCGAGCCCCGCGGTAGCAGACACAAACACAGAATGCAGAGCGATGTCGCGCACGGCGTAGCAATGCCGTGCCAAGCAACCCAATTCAACGCGATGCACTGCATAACAATGTAATGCAAAGCAAGGCGAAGCAATTCCAATTCAACGCAAAGCAGTTCAATGCCACGCAATGCAAAGCAATGTCAAGCAAAGCAACGCAGTGCAAAGCATCGTACATCAATTCAAAACAACGCAAAGCACGGCACAACAACGCACAAACAACACGAAGCAATGCAAAGCAACGCGATGCAATGAAAAGCAAATCAAAGCAGCGCAACGCAAAGCAAGACAAAGCAAGGCAAAGCAGTGTCAAGCAATGCAAAGCAACGCAAGACAATGCGGTGCGATCTAATCGCGGCGACGAGCGGCGACGGCGTTGACAGGGCGGCGACGGCGGCAACATAGCCGCCAAACCGACGCACAGGCCCAGACCATGGCCGGCGACGGGGCGGCGACGGCGGCAGCACAGTCGCCGGACCGACGCACAGGTTCAGTTCCCCAGAAAAGGAAGCAGGAGCAGCATCATAATCACCCCCGAGGTCAGCCGAACCGTGCCGTTAGTGTGGGGGGGGGAGGCGCCGAGGGCCAGTCACGGCCACTATATCCTTGGCATCGCTCGGATTTGTGCATATTTCCGTCGGCGAGGACCATCGAGGAGCATCCTTGATCACTCGGCGAAAAAACCACGCACGAAACCGAAAAAATCACAGGGAATGGACGTCCGAGCGATGGCCAGTATCAGAGCAAGGGAAAAACGGTTTACAGGTGCTCGATGCTGAGGTGCCGAGACTGCTATTGCTGCAAGCGCTTCATGCGGGTCACGGGGACCGACAAGTTCGACGACTTTGAGGTCACCGTGGTGGTCCACGAGGCGCTGTTCACGGCGAGCAAGCTGAAGCTCTGCACGAAGGTCAGGATCAAGGCTGGCCCCCACGTGGTGCTGACGGACGAGAGCTCCAAGGGGATCTTCCAGCAGCCCCTCCAGATCTTCGTGGAGCAGGGGACGCAGACCATCGACGTGGAGCTGATGGACAGCCGCGAGAAGAAGGTGCTGGCGGTCAAGAAGTTAGACGTGCTGAAGGACGTCGGAGGCTTGGAATTCTGCACCAGCACCAGCGCAGGGGGGGTTCTCCACCTGGCGAGGATGATCCTAGATTATGGTGTCGGAGGCAATTTTTCGGCCACCGCGGGAGCCCGAAGAGTGCCACCATCGCGAAGATCCGGATCATCCTCCCTCGGTGGAGGCAACCGCCGCTATTGTCGTTTGCGCCGGCCTCTGAACCTCCCAGGACGTCCTGAATCGCGAGGGAAAGGACAAGAATCAAGACATCTTTTACAGCATGAAGCAGAAGAGCAAGGGGCTCCTCAACCCGAAGATCAGGCTCACCGTGCTCTTTGAGGGCGACAGCGCGGCGGAGCAGGGCCTGCTGAAGCAGATGCACTGCAGCCAGGAGTCCAACTTGGTGCTGCGGCACGTGCAGCAGATGGCAGAGGATCGGCCAGTGCCAAGGGGGTCACCACTGGGGGGGTCACGGGCTCCTCCTGGAGATCGAGGTTCCAGATGATCGAAGCTCGAGGAAGTTGATTTGCCCTTTGGAGTCGTTTTGGACGGCTCTGGAATTTGTTCTGCGGCACACTTCTCTTGTTGGTGACTCCCCTTGGCATTGCTCCAGAGGACGCGTGCGACCTGCAGCACAGCATGATCGACGAGAACGGGGAGATCAAGCCCGTGCCAATGTCCGAGCTGGACCTTCGAATAAGAAAACATGCACAAGCATAAACTCTTGGAGGTCCGCGCGGACCTCGGAAAGTTTTTCAGTGTATAACATGAGGCGTTCCAAAGTTGACCTTGCCGTCGAGGACCGAAGGAGTTGTCATCTCTTCCTCGACTAAAGGCGGCGGAAGGGCGGCGGAAGGTCGGCGGAAGTAAAACGAGGGCGCCTCCGGGGGTGGAAGGCTGGCGGAAGGCGGCGGAAGGCAGAGAAAGCCTCGGCTGCTCGAGCGCGTTTTCTCCACAGGGGAGCGTGGGGTCGCAAGTCCCCACTGGGCGGTCCCGCACCACTCCTCGCCATGGCACGCTGGTGCTGAGGTGGCTGCTGACGTGGCGAGGAGCCGATCCTGCCCCGCGAGGCGAGCGCTGGGAGGGCGCCCACCCTCCCTGGATGGCATGCAGGCTGCCGGCGGCCTGACGCCAGAGCATGGGCATCAGGGCAAAAGGGCCCTACGGAGGGCGGTCCGACTCGCAATGGTGGTCGGATCTTGCTGGTACAGGGGTCGCTATTACAACCGCTCCGAGATCGCCTCTCTGACCACGTCCACTCCGTGCACTTCTACTCCGTCGCCACCCCCACCCTCACAGTGTACTCCGACGCCGCGAGCCAGGCGTCTCATGTCCAAGCAAGTGCTCAAGGTATGGTCGTACAACGCCGAGAGCTTAATTCAAGTCGACAGGCTTGGCGAAATCCTACGTCTTGCGAGTGAAGAGGGGGTGGCCATCTGTTGCCTCCAAAGCACATTGATGAGCGTTGAACGGGCATGGACATGCGAAGGCTACCGCGTGATCCCTGCTCCACGCTTGTCTCCAACGGCCCGTGACGGGTGCCTCACCGCCGTGAGTCTCAAGTACTTTGCGCTGTGCGAGCTCCGCTGCGTCCACCAGTGGCTAGCGGGAAGGCTCCTTGGCATCCGTCTCCGTCGACTTGGCCCCCGGCCCAGAGACCTCTACATCTTGAGTGCCTACGCCTACACGAACCATTTTGGCCATCACGTAGCTGCGGGGACTGACGCAGATGCTCTCCGCGAGGCCCACTACAAGTCCCAGGACCAGATCTGGCAAGAGTGCGAAAAGACCCTCCAGAAGGTGCCGCGACGGTGCTCAGCCATCTGGTGCCTTGACGCCAACGGCACTGTGGCACCTGCGCCACCTAACGTGGGAGTCGCAGGGAGTGGGAGGTCCCCGCACGCCACCAACAGCAATGGAGGCAAGTTCCTGTCCGTTTTGCAATCTACGGGAATGCAGGCTCTTAACACTTTCGGCAGCCGCCGCCGCGCTACCGGTACGTGGCTACATACGGACGGGCGGAGCTGGACCACGATATACTTCATTTGCACCAAGTTCCGAGGCGGCAAGGGCTTGCGGGCCCGCACGCGCTATGACCTTCCAGTGTCTATGGGAGGCCATCGTGATCATGGGCCAGTGGAGGCGCACATTCTGGCTGGACCTTGCTGCCGCAGACCCCGCACCAAGTCCCCACAACGCTGGAACCGAGACTTGCTCATCCAGGACCTGGCCGCCGTACGCGGGCTGGCAGAGGGGAGAGCCCTCCCGCCGAAGGTCGCGGACTTCCGTGACCGCCTCGCGTCGGGACTGCACGCAATTGGCATTTCAGGCGATTGGCTGACTGAGTGCACCCGCGACGGACCCTTCCGTTCGACCTCGGACTACTACAACGCCGTGGAGCATGCAGTGGTCGAGGCGGGCTACGACTTATATGCTGTCCCCGCCGGAAAGCAGGTCAAACAGGTGTTCTCTGCAAACACCTTCGCCCTCATCGCACGCAAGCAGCAATACCAACGGATGCTGGCCCGCGTCCCGCAGAGATCCAGTTGGCTATTCAAGTCTTTCCAGGGCAGCTACGACACGGCATGCAAGGAGGCCAAGAAAGCCGTGCGGGCCGAAAAGAGACAAAGAGTGGCCATGCTTGTGGCCGCGGTCGAGAAAACCGACCAGAACCAAAACATCCGCGAAAGCTACAACATCATCAAAAGATTAGCTCCGAAACCACAGGCACCGATCATGACAGTCTGAAGCCCCGTGACTAAACAGATCTGCTGGGACGAGGATGAGGAGCTGGACGTCCGCACTGAAGCTCTCAAGGCGATCTTCGAGGCTTCCGAGATTCCACTCAACTCCCTCCCGGCGGAGGTCCCCGACCTGCCTGATGCGGATCTTTCCTTGGTCGGGAACTACGGCCTGAAAGACCTGGAAGACGCAATTGGCCGGATGCCGAATTTCAAGAGCGCCCCGGTTCTCAGGCGTCAGGCCCCCAGCGCCGTTACGACAGAACCCATTGTCCCCGCGGAGGAGGCGGTCGCGGAGTTGTGGAAGCTCGGTCTCCCGCAGGTGGGGCCCCCGCTGCTGGGCGTTTTCCGAGCGTGCCAGGGCTACGGCCAGATCGCTCAGAGGTTCAAGGACGGCGAGACGGCGTCTCTCAGGAAACCAAGGGGACGGCACCAGCGCACGAGACCATTATCGCACCATTAACTTGATTGGCCATGTCGGCAAGGTCTTCGCGAACACGACTGCGATGCCACAGCTTCGCAACCTCGCCGGCCGCCTCTCGCGCACTCAATTTGGAGCGCTGGCCGGCCGTTCCGCCCGAGACGCGATCGTCATAGTCGACGAAATTGTCCGCCGCTTCTGGTCCAGCAGGGCTCGCACGAAACATTATGCCGAAATCCTCGTGGCAGCCCTCATCGATCTTGGGAAGGCCTTCGACCTCTTGCCGAGGCGCTGCATTTGGGACTCCCTGGAGGCCCTGGCGTGGAGAGGGGGGCGGCGCTCACGATCCAGGAGCCCCACAACGGCATGTGCTACATAGTACGGGATCCGAAGACAAATTCCCCATGTAGAACATTGGTGGTGGGGAAGGGGGTGAGGCAGGGCAGCGTAGGGGGCCCATCCCTCTTCATTACACTCTACGAGATGATCATTCGGAGGGTTCAGGAGGAGATGTGACCCAATGGTTTCACGGGGGTCAAGGCCATCATGAACCCCGCTCTCCACACCCTCCGCACCACGAGCCTCCTCGACCCGAATGTCCATGAGGTGCTAGATGTGTCCCAGGTCAAGTTCGTCGATGACCTCATAGGCACGGCTATCGTCTCGGATTTCGATGTTGTGCCAGAGTTCTTGGGCTTTCTTCGTAGGATCCTGGAGGAGGAGGGCATGCGCGTGAACGTCCCCAAAACTGAAATGCTCTTGGTGGTTTCTGGGCAAGGCAGCAAGGAACTCCGGAAGCAGGTGGCCGATAAGAAAACCATGGTTCGTTTTCCACTTTCGCAAGGGTCTAGCATCCCGCTCCACGCCCAGAAGTCCGTGAAGTATTTAGGAGTCCGTACCAGGGAGGACGGCTCGATGTCGGAAGAGATTGGGATGCGCCTGCAGGGCGCGAACACGGTTCACGGCCGGCTCTCTGCCAAGGTTTTCTGGGGCAACCGGTGCACGAGGTTGAAGGTCCGGATGCGGGGGTCCCTCGTCCGCTCGATTGCGCTGTGCGCCTTGGAGGTCGCCCTCTTCACCAAACAGGAGCTTACTCGTATGGAACGGCGGCAGAACCGTAAGCTCCGCCACTTCCTCCGCTCGCCCGCGCACCTGTTCAAGGCGCCGAACACAGAGATCCGGAGGCGAGCGAACGTCCACTCAGTCGAGAGCGCGCTGCTATTTCGGCGCCTTTGCTGGTGGCAGAATGTGATTCTGCCGGGCTTGTCCCCGGAGCCGCACCTTGTCGACTACGACCCTGCCTGGGCTGTCCGCGCGGTGGTCTTCGGGAGGCTGAGTTTCGAGCGCCCCGAAAAGATCGAGGCCGCGTGCCGGATTGCCCAGCTGCTGAATGACTTCCAGTCTCTCCACCAGGCGGTCTCCGGAGAGGTTCGCGAAAAAGACTTCGAGGGAGATCCTTGTCTTAGTCGCCCATGGCTGGCCTGGCTTGCCACGCTCCGGAAGGTGACTCTGCGGTGCGTTCTATCGTTCTCTTCTTCCAGCGACGCTGCAAACGTCCGTGGGGGCGGTGGGCCTACGGAGGCACAAGAACTCCAAGAGTGCCCGGAGTGCGGTCGCAAATTCCCTGGTTCCCAGGATTTGGCTAGTCATAGACATATGACGCACGGCATTTTCATCAACCCGATCGGTATCCCAGATGAATTCCCGGCTCGCCGCGAGTGCCCCTACTGCCAGGTCGTTTTCTCTCGTAAAGACGTTTTGGTTCGACGCATTCGATGTGGTCGATGCCCTCGCCTCCCTGTAGCTGGCTTGGTTCAAGACCCGAGCGTTGGCGCGGAGGCGGCCGTGCCCCAGTTACCCGCTCAGGATGTCTATGTTCGCGCCGCTGGAGCAGGCCCTCCAGAAGCGCCAGGCCCCCGAGTCCAGGGAGGCGGACGACGAGGCCGGCCCGGCGGGGGACGGCAACGGCGAGACCGTGACGAAGCTCCAGAAGGCCATGGCGAAGTTGCTGATGCAGCACGAAGACACGCTGAGGAACAATTCCGCGACGACAACTTCGCGATGAATCTCAAGGCGGACTCGCGCCTGGCCCGGGCCTTGGAGACCGGGGTCGAGGAGTGCGACGCCGAGGGGAAGAAGGCCCGCGAGGAGAACAATGGCGACGACTACAAGGGGCACCCGAAGGGCAAGAAACCTGACGCGCATGGGCGTCTCCTGGTGTTCCGGGTGGCCGAGGTCGCGCAGGCGGACATGGAGAAGGTGCAGCAGGCCGCGGCGCAAAGGCATTTCGCGGTCGAGGCCGCGGGCGCGGTGACCAAGCTAGTCGAGTGGGGCACCCGCGCGGGAGACCCGAAGGCGCACTTCATGGCGACGAGGTGCTTCCGGGTGCTCGTGCAGGAAAACGACGTCGAGGTGGCCAAGTGGATCATGGCAGTGAACTACCACCAGGAGCTCAAGAGTGCCCCGGAGGTCCTCCGGCTGAACGGGGCCCTCGAGGCGGCGGGCGTGCAGCTGACTTTCGACACGGCCCCGCGGTCGAAGCAGGCGAAGGAGATCGAGCGCCTGGCGTTCTCCATGGGAGGGAAGTCGCGCCCCAAGGGGGCGAAGCGGGCCAAGAAGCGACCCGCCTGCGGCAATCTTGCATCGCAGCGCTTTTTCGCCCGAGCAGGGGCCCAGAGTAGAATGCGAGCTTCGTCGGCTTTGCGCGCGTGCGGCGTGAGCTTCGTAGGCCGAGCAGCGCCGTTACGACAGAATTCTGTTACGACGGAGCTCAGATTTTGTTCCCGGCGGGTGCGAGCCCTGTGAGCCTTGTGGGCCAGCCAACGCCGCTACGACGGATAATTCTGTTACGACGGATTCGATTTTTGGGGACCTTTTGACTCTGGTCCTCTTCCTCCTTGCCTCCTCCTTCTCGTCCTCGCGAGGCTCGTGCGAGGTCCGCTCGAGCTCGGCCTCGGAGTAGAGTGCTAGCCTGTTTTGCAGTGTGGCCGAGGGGCCCCTGGGAGCCTAGAGGGGTTTTTCGGGGCCTCCCTCATTGTGCCACCCTCACAGAGGTGGGGGTGCTTGAGGGCGGGGTTTTGGAGCTCTCGTCGGCGGAAGTGCCCGCGAGTCGCATAGCCCGTCTACCTGCGCCTCCTGGGGTCCTGATCTGGCAAGACGTTGGATCGCGCCGAAGTGACCGTTTCGGTAGAGTTTTTTCCGATGAGGCCCACCACGTAATTTCCAGCGACAAGAGGGAGTAGCGCGAGCAAAAAGGAAGTCAGAGATGCGCCCCCAAGAGACGAAAACGTTTTTGGGTTCAGGGTTTCCGAAAGCACCCACATGCCCTTCCTCCAGGAGCTGCTCGTGAAGGGTTGCGCGGGGCCCGTGGACAAGTTCGGCAGCTGGGGCAGCAGGTCGACGGTCTACGTCGGCGTGCAGGGGCCTCCGGATACCAAGAGGTTCACGCTGGGCATCTGGAGGAGCCAGGGCGACCTAGCCAGCGGCGCCAAACCGGACACGGAGGTTCTAAGGAAAAGCGTTTTGCATAAGCATGGGTCCGCGCGGATCTCTTGGATCTGCGTTGGGCCGCCTCTGGCGCCGCCCCTGGCGCCGCCCCTGGCGCGCTCCGCGTCCAGCGCAGATCCAAGAAATTCGCACGGCCTTCCGCAAGTTGATGTTTGTGCCGCTTGGTGTTCCTCTAGAGGTGGACTTGCTGAAGATCCTCAGCGTCCAGCCCGACCCGCATCCCAGGCGCTCGGAGGTCTTCGTTATCCAGTACGTGGACCCTGCAGACAAACTGAAGAAGCGGCTGACGCTCAAGCGGCTCGACCGCAGCAGGGACGCCTGGGTCGAGATCTTGACGCGACTGATCAAGTTACTGCACGACGAGAAGGACGCAAAGAAGAGGGTCAAGCTCTGAGTCCGTATTGACCATGTTCCCTGCGAGGAGGAAAAGGTATCGATACCGCTAATCTCCCCTCGTCTTCGCCTTTTTGGGGGCCTCTGGGGAGGCCCTCGCCGCCACGGCAGGATTCGCATAGAAACCCCGATCAGCACGCACCTCGGGAGAGGTTTGTGGAGTAGCGGTATCGGTATCTTTTCGTCCCAACCATTCCCTCCCGCGGATTCAGACTGGGTTGAGCGGCCTGAGACCCCGCAGTCCGTGACGCCAGATCCTCATATCCCTCCTCCTCTTTTTTTGCTTTGGGGGGAGATGGGACTTTGAAATTCTGGGCTTTGCGAGGGGCTGTCCTGTCTGAAATGTTCGACGCTTCGCGAATCCGCCAGAAGCCCATTCAGAAACGATGTCCAGGCGAGTTACCCTGATCAGGATAGCGTATGAGTACGCATCCAATATTCAACCATCCATGATCCAGGGTCGAGGGTTCACATTCTCCCACCCCAGATGGGATGGGCCCCAGGGTTCCACAGCCCCCCCGCCCCCCCCGATGGGATGGGCGGGGGCACGACGACGACGCCGACGACGACGACGACCAAGCCGACGCCGACGCGGACGCCGACGCCGACGACGACGACGACGACTTCGACGACGACGACGACGACGACGGCGACGACGACGACGACGGCGACGGCGACGACGACGACGACGGCGACGCAGCCGCCGCCGACGACGACGACGACAAAGCCGACGCCGACGGCGACGACAACGCCGACGAAACCGAAGCCGACGGCGACGCCGATGCCGACGCCGACGCCGACGCCGACGACGACGACGACGACGACGACGCCGACGACGACCACGACGCCGATGCAGACGGCGTCGCCGACGTCGATGCCGTTGCCGACGACGACGCTGACGCCGACGCCGACGGAAGACGACGACGGCCTCCTCGGGGGGCGGCGGATAGCTCTGTCGAGGTCCTCGCCCGCCCACCAGGGTGCCCCCAAGGGAGATGGTTGCAAACCACACCCTTTGCAAACCACACCCTTCGGAGTCGCCGATCTTGGACTGTTGGGGGCCGCTTGGGCTGTCGTGCGATGGGGCCGAGCGGCCTTGGGCTGTTGTGCGCCGTTAAGAGAGGGCCCAGACATCGCAACCTATTTCTTGTAATCATCGCGGGTGTTTTCTTGGGGGGCGGCCCCGAACCCAATCTCTTTCCCCGGCCTTCCTACTTCATGTTTCTGCCTACTTCTTCCGACCGGCCTGTAGTCCGTCTTGGGGGTTCTGTTGAGGCCTCGGCATCGCTCGGACGTGTGCATTTTTTTCTCGGCGAGGACCATCGAGGAGCATCCTTGATCATCTGGCGAAAAAGCCACGCACGAAACCGAAAAATACACGAGGAATGGACGTCCGAGCGATGGCGAGAGGCGGTCTTGGGGAGAGGAGGAGGAGGAGGAGGAGGAGGAGGAGGAGGAGGAGGAGGAGGAGGAGGAGGAGGAGGAGGAGGAGGAGAGGGGAGGAGGAGGAGGAGGAGAGGAGGAGGAGGAGGAGGAGGAGGAGGAGGAGGAGGAGGAGGAGGAGGAGGAGGAGGAGGGGGCGGAGGGGGCGGAGGAGGAAAAGGAGGAGGATGAGAAGGAGGAGGAGGAGGAGGAGGAGGAGGAGGAGGAGGAGGAGGAGGAGGAGGAGGAGGGGGAGGGGGCCTCTTCCGCCGCCCCGGAGCGTCTAGGGCCTGCAGCGGCGAGGCCAGGGCGAGTGGCCCGTGCGCCCTCGGGCTGCGCTCTGCGGGGAGCCGCGCGGGGCCGCCGGCGACCGCCGCGCTCCCGCACCCGCCGCGGGCAGCTCGTCCTCCTCACCAGCCTCCCCTTTTGTCCCCTTTTGTCCCCCTTTTGTCCCCTTTTGTCCCCTTTTGGCCCCTTTTGTCCCCTTTTGTCCCCTTTTGTCGTTCCTCAGGATGCTTATTGGGGATCTCCCAGGGCCGGAGAAAACGAAAAAAAAGGAGACACGAGGGAGACACCAGGGAGGCACCAGGAAGATATCGTGAGTTTAGCGTCTTCCGAGGCTCCTGTGGAGCACCAGAAGGACCAGGAGGAGGAGCAGGGGGATTAGTAGGAGGGAGGGAGGAGGATGGGAGGGAGAAGGACGAGGCGGAGGAGGAGGAGGAGGAGGAGGATAATACTTTTCGAGGAGATAGCTCGTTCCAGGAATCTTGTGCGGGCGATTTGCGGGTGCCTTTCGGGTGCCTTTCGGGTGCTTTGCGGGTGCCTCAGGGGTGCCTTTCGTGTGATGTTGTTTTCTTTCGTCCCTTTCTCATATTGTGTCCCTCTTGCCCCTTTTATCCCCTTTTGTCCCCTTTGTCCCCTTTGTTCCTTTTTGTCTCCTTTGTCCCCTTTTTCCCCTTTTGTCCGCTTTGTCCCTTTTTGTCCCCTTTGTCCCTTTTGTTCCACAGGCCTCTTGGATGTCTCTTGGGGTTTCATGGGAGGCCGCTTGCAGGTCTCTTGTGGAACACTTCTCGGTGGCCTCTTGGAAGCCTCTTGGGTGCCTCTGGGAGGCATTTTTGGGGCGCATGTGGGCAAAGGGCTCGAAAAGTCCCTTCGTGCTCCCCGTCGTGGGGGCGGCTAATTGGGCCCCTCTTGGCGGCTCTTGGGCCGTCTTGGGGCGATCTTTGGGGGCCTGTTGGACCGTCTTGGGTGCCTTTGAGACCGAGCAGGCAGATGGGCGAAAGCTGCACAAACACTTAAGGGATTTACGAAATGGTGGCTTCTTGGGCCGGCTCCGAAGATCGACGTGCATGTCCCGAGCCACGCTCCTGGGGCCTTCCTGGAAAAGTCGCGCGGGAAGCCCAAAACGTCTCGCGGGGAGCCCCGAGAAATCCATGAGTTGGTGGTCCAGGCCACTTGAAGAGAGTGCCACAGCACTCGCCATGACACGCTCTTCCAGCAGGGCCAGTCAAACCGAGCCTTTGTTCACCGCAGCCGTTTTTGGTCCGGGCCAGGTCGTGGGCCCTGCTGCTGGGCCCGGCGCTCCACCGGCTCCTCGCCTCAGGACGATCCGCGACGGCAGCGGCCAGTTGATCTCCCAGCTCCAGGCGCTCAGCAGGAGCCGCCCGCAGGCGCCAGCGGCGATCCCCGTGCTCTTCTTCGAGGGCCGCCCCGGCAAGAGCGAGCGGCGAGAGAGGAACCGCGCGCGCGATCCAGTGGCGCTGCCGCGCGCGCCCGCCACCGCGCTCGCGCGGTCGCCTTTTTGGGAGGGGGCTTGCGCCAGGAGACTCTCCGCTTTCATCGCCTTCCCTCTTCCCTTTCATCGCCTTTCCCGCTCCCTCTCCCTCTTCCCTCTTCCCTTTCCCTTCTTTCTCTTCCCTTGCCCTTTCCCCCTTGCCTTTCCCTCCCCTCCCCCTGCCTTTCCCTCTCCCTCTTCCCTTTCATCGCCTTTCGTTTTCCTTTTTTTCTTATCCTTTCCGCCTTTCCTTTTCCTTCCCCTTCTCGTCGCCGCCCAGCTCATGCCTCTTCTATCGCTGGGAAGTGTGGAAGAATACGTGTTGATGTGAGGAGTCTTCAGTGAGGGGCGCCATAGCAAGCCCGATGTAAGTCTGCGCATAGCGAATAGCATAGTGTAGCAGCGTGCGCGGCGGCATCTGCGTTTTGAAACCTTAAAAAGGGCTCTTCGAATTTCCTTCCGGGGCGTGTTCCGGGAGAGCCTTTCCGGAACGCGGTGTCTCCCGCCACTGCTTAGGAGAACATGGTTAAGGGCTTGACTCGCGTGCGGTTTCGTCCTAGAGTCCTCGCCCTCTTCATTTTCTCTTGTGCAGTTGCCTTGAGCGTGGCCTTCGCTGCCTCTTGGCATGTCTCTTCTTTCTTAGGTATCTCGCACGCTGCGGTTGGCTCAAGACAACGAACTGCAAGGTGCGATTTGGTTAAAAAGTGCACTCAGGGCAGTGTGGCCTTAGCTGCCTCCCTGGGTGTGCTGCGCCGCCATATTCTCGCTATCCTTGCTGCTGCTCCCTCGGCGGCGGCTCCGTCGGCGGCGGCGCTGACTGGCAGGGGGCACATTCTCAGGGAAGGAACGGAAACGCAGAGACTTGGTCACAGACACGAACTCATCTGGCGCTGGATGCGTCGGGGAGCCCCAATCACTGCTTCGCAAGGAGCGACAGGGCCTTCTGACACGCCTGCCGCTGCAAACGCGGTGGCGGATGGAAGCCTGGAGCTGTTGCCGGGGCATCGTTTCTCGCTGACGCCGGAGGGCGGGGCCAGGGGATCCTACCGCGGCAGCCTCCAGGCGCGCCAGGTGGCAGCCATGAGCAGTTCCCTCGATTTCATGGCGGTGCATCAAACCCCTTTTTTGTCCCCTTTTGTCCCCTTTTGGCCCCTTTTGTCCCCTTTTGTCCCCTCTTGTCGTCCCTCAGGATGCCTATTGGGGATCTCCCAGGGCCGGAGAACACAAAAAAAAAGGAGACACGAGGGAGACACCAGGGAGGCACCAGGAAGATATCGTGAGTTTAGCGTCTTCCGAGGCTCCTTTGGAGCACCAGAAGGACCAGGAGGAGGAGCAGGAGGATTTGTAGGAGGGAGGGGGGAGGATGGGAGGGAGAAGGACGAGGCGGAGGAGGAGGAGGACGAGGAGGACAATACTTTTCGAGGAGATAGCTTGTTCCAGGAATCTTGTGCGGGCGATTTGCGGGTGCCTTTCGGGTGCCTTTCGGGTGCTTTGCGGGTGCCTCAGGGGTGCCTTTCGTGTGATGTTGTTTTCTTTCGTCCCTTTCTCATATTGTGTCCCTACTGCACCTTTTGCCCCCTTTTGTCCCCTTTGTCCCCTTTGTTGCTTTTTGTCTCCTTTGTCCCCTTTTTCCCCTTTTGTCCGCTTTGTCCCCTTTTGTCCCCTTTGTCCCTTTTGTTCCACAGGCCTCTTGGATGTCTCTTGGGGTTTCATGGGAGGCCGCTTGCAGGTCTCTTGTGGAACACCTCTCGGGGGCCTCTTGGAAGCCTCTTGGGTGCCTCTGGGAGGCACTTTTGGGGCGCATGTGGGCAAAGGGCTCGAAAAGTCCCTTCGTGCTCCCCGTCGTGGGGGCGGCTAATTGGGCCCCTCTTGGCGGCTCTTGGGCCGTCTTGGGGCGATCTTTGGGGGCCTGTTGGACCGTCTTGGACGCCTTTGAGACCGAGCAGGCAGATGGGCGAAAGCTGCACAAACATTTAAGGGATTTACAAAATGGTGGCTTCTTGGGCCGGCTCCGAAGTTCGACGTGCATGTCCCGAGCCGCGCTCCTGGGGCCTTCCTGGAAAAGTCGTGCGAGAAGCCCAAAACGTCTCGCGGGGGGCCCCGAGAAATCCATGAGTTGGCGGTCCAGGCCACTTGAAGAGAGTGCCACAGCACTCGCCATGACACGCTCTTCCAGCAGGGCCAGTCAAACCGAGCCTTTGTTCACCGCGGCCGTCTTTGGTCCGGGCCAGGTCGTGGGACCTGCTGCTGGGCCCGGCGCTCCACCGGCCCCTCGCCTCAGGGCGATCCGCGATGGCAGCGGCCAGTTGATCTCCCGGCTCCAGGCGCTCAGCAGGAGCCGCCCGCAGGCGCCAGCGGCGATCCCCGTGCTCTTCTTCGAGGGCCGCCCCGGCAAGAGCGAGCGGCGAGAGAGGAACCGCGCGCGCGATCCAGCGGCGCTGCCGCGCGCGCCCGCCACCGCGCTCGCGCGGTCGCGTTTTTGGGGGGGGGCTTGCGCCAGGAGACTCTCCGCTTTCATCGCCTTCCCTCTTCCCTTTCATCGCCTTTCCCGCTCCCTCTCCCTCTTCCCTCTTCCCTCTCCCTTCTCTCTCTTCCCATTCCCTTTCCCCCTTGCCGTTCCCCCCCCTCCCCCTGCCTTTCCCTCTCCCTCTTCCCTTTCGTCGCCTTTCGTTTTCCTTTTTTTCTTATCCTTTCCGCCTTTCCTTTTCCTTCCCCTTCTCGTCTCCGCCCAGCTCATGCCTCTTCTATCGCTGGGAAGTGTGGAAGAATACATGTTGATGTGAGGAGTCTTCAGCGAGGGGCGCCACAGCAAGCCTGATGTAAGTCTGCGCATAGCGAATAGCATAGTGTAGCAGCGTGCGCGGCGGCATCTGCGTTTTGAAACCCTAAAAAGGGCTTTTCGAATTTCCTTCCGGGGCGCGTTCCGGAAGAGCCCTTCTGGAACGCGGTGTCTCCCGCCACTGCTTAGGAGAACATGGTTAAGGGCTTGACTCGCGTGCGGTTTCGTCCTAGAGCCCTCGCCCTCTTCATTTTCTCTTGTGCAGTTGCCTTGAGCGCGGCCTTCGCTGCCTCTCGGCATCTCTCTTCTTTCTTAGGTATCTCGCACGCTGCGGTTGGCTCAAGACAACGAACTGCAAGGTGCGATTTGGTTAAAGAGTGCACTCAGGGCAGCGTGGCCTCAGCTGCCTCCCTGGGCGCGCTGCGCCGCCATATTCTCGTTATCCTTGCTGCTGCTCCCTCGGCGGCGGCCCCGTCGGCGGCGGCGCTGACTGGCAGGGGGCGCATTCTCAGGGAAGGAACGGAAACGCAGAGACTTGGTCACAGACACGAACTCATCTGGCGCCGGATGCGTCGGGGAGCCCCAATCACTGCTTCGCAAGGGGCGACAGGGCCTTCTGACACGCCTGCCGCTGCAAGCGCGGTGGCGGATGGAAGCCTGGAGCCGTTGCCGGGGCATCGTTTCTCGCTGGCGCCGGAGGGCGGGGCCAGGGGGCCCTGCCGCGGCAGCCTCCAGGCGCGCCAGGTGGCAGCCATGAGCAGTTCCCTTGATTTCATGGCGGTGCATCAAGTCCCCTTTTGTCCCCTTTTGTCCACTTTTGGCTCCTTTTGTCCCTTTTTGTCGCCCCTCAGGACGCTTATTGGAGATCTCCCAGGGCCGGAGAACACGAAAAGAAGGGAGACACGAGGGAGACACCAGGGAGGCACCAGGAAGATATCGTGAGTTTAGCGTCTTCCGAGGCTCCTTTGGAGCACCAGAAGGACCAGGAGGAGGAGCAGGAGGATTAGCAGGAGGGAGGGGGGAGGATGGGGGGGAGAAGGGCGAGGCGGAGGAGGAGGAGGAGGAGGACAATACTTTTCGAGGAGATAGCTTGTTCCAGGAATCTTGCGCAGGCGATTTGCGGGTGCCTTTCGGGTGCCTTTCGGGTGCTTTGCGGGTGCCTCAGGGGTGCCTTTCGTGTGATGTTGCTTTCTTTCGTCCCTTTCTCATTTTGTGCCCCTACTGCCCCTTTTGCCCCCTTTTGCCTTTTTTTTTTTTTTTTTTTTTTTTTTTTGTTTTTTTTTTTTTTTTGCATCATTTGCCCCCTTTTCCCCCTTTTGTCCGCTTTGTCCCTTTTTGTCCCCTTTGCCCCTATTGTTCCACAGGCCTCTTGGATGTCTATTGGGGTTTCATGGGGGGCCGCTTGCAGGTCTCTTGTGGAACACCTCTCGGGGGCCTCTCGGGAGCCTCTTGGGTGCCTCTGGGAGGCATCTTTGGGGCGCATGTGGGCAAAGGGCTCGAAAAGTCCCTTCGTGCCCCCCGTCGCGGGGGCGGCTAATTGGGCCCCTCTTGGCGGCTCTTGGGCCGTCTTGGGGCGATCTTTGGGGGCCTGTTGGACCGTCTTGGACGCCTTTGAGACCGAGCAGGCAGATGGGCGAAAGCTGCACAAACACGTAAGGGATTTACGAAATGGTGGCTTCTTGGGCCGGCTCCGAAGTTCGACGTGCATGTCCCGAGCCACGCCCCCGGGGCCTTCCTGGAAAAGTCGTGCGAGAAGCCCAAAACGTTTCGCGGGGGGCCCCGAGAAATCCATGAGTTGGCGGTCCAGGCCACTTGAAGAGAGTGCCACAGCACTCGCCATGACACGCTCTTCCAGCAGGGCCAGTCAAACCGAGCCTTTGTTCACCGCAGCCGCTTTTGGCCCGGGCCAGGTCGCGGGCCCTGCCGATGGGCCCGGCGCCCCGCCGGCTCCTCGCCCCAGGGCGATCCGCGACGGCAGCGGCCAGTTGATCTCCCAGCTCCAGGCGCTCAGCAGGAGCCGCCCGCAGGCGCCAGCGGCGATCCCCGTGCTCTTCTTCGAGGGCCGCCCCGGCAAGAGCGAGCGGCGAGAGAGGAACCGCGCGCGCGATCCAGCGGCGCTGCCGCGCGCGCCCGCCACCGCGCTCGCGCGGTCGCCTTTTTTTTGGGGGGCTTGCGCCAGGAGACTCTCCGCTTTCATCGCCTTCCCTCTTCCCTTTCATCGCCTTTCCCCCCCCCTCTTCCCTCTTCCCTTTCCCTTCTCTCTCTTCCCTTTCCCTTTCCCCCTTGCCTTTCCCTCCCCTCCCCCTGCCTTTCCCTCCCCCTCTCCCCTGTCATCGCCTTTCGTTTTCCTTTTTTTCTTATCCTTTCCGCCTTTCCTTTTCCTTCCCCTTCTCGTCGCCGCCCAGCTCATGCCTCTTCTATCGCTGGGAAGTGTGGAAGAATACATGTTGATGTGAGGAGTCTTCAGTGAGGGGCGCCACAGCAAGCCTGATGTAAGTCTGCGCGTAGCGAACAGCACAGTGCAGCAGCGCGCGCGGCGGCATCTGCGTTTTGAAACCCTAAAAAGGGCTCTTCGAATTTCCTTCCGGGGCGCGTTCCGGAAGAGCCCTTCCGGAACGCGGTGTCTCCCGCCACTGCTTAGGAGAACACGGTTAAGGGCTTGACTCGCGTGCGGTTTCGTCCAAGAGTCCTCCTCGCCCTCTTCATTTTCTCTTGTGCAGTTGCCTTGAGCGTGGCCTTCTCTGCCTCTTGGCATCTCTCTTCTTTCTTAGGTATCTCGCGCGCTGCGGTTGGCTCATGACAACGAACTTCAAGGTGCGATTTGGTTAAGGAGTGCACTCAGGGCAGCGTGGCCTCAGCTGCCTCCCTGGGCGTGCTGCGCCGCCATATTCTCGTTATCCTTGCTACTGCCCCCTCGGCGGCGGCCCCGTCGGCGGCGGCGCTGACTGGCAGGGCGCGCATTCTCAGGGAAGGAACGGAAGCGCAGAGACTTGGTCACAGACGCGAACTCATCTGGCGCTGGATGCGTCGGGGAGCCCCAATCACTGCTTCGCAAGGAGCGACCGGGCCTTCTGACACGCCTGCCGCCCCGGAGCGTCAAGGGCCTCTTCCGCCGCCCCGGAGCGTCGAGGGCCTGCAGCGGCGAGGCCAGGGCGAGTGGCCCGTGCGCCCTCGGGCCGCACTCTGCGGGGGGCCGCGCGGGGCCGCCGGCGACAGCCGCGCCCCCGCGCCCGCCGCGGGCAGCTCGTCCTCCTCGCCAGCCTCCCCTTTGTCCCCTTTTGTCCCCTTTTGTCCCCTTTGTCGCCCCTCAGGGCGCTTATTGGAGGTCCCCCAGGGCCGGGGAACACGAAAAAGAGGGAGACGCGAGGGAGACACCAGGGAGACACCAGGGAGGCACCATGAAGACATCGTGAGTTTAGCGTCTTCCGAGGCTCCTTTGGAGCACCAGAAGGACCAGGAGGAGGAGCAGGAGGATTAGTAGGAGGGAGGGAGGAGGATGGGAGGGGGAAGGACGAGGCGGAGGAGGAGGAGGAGGAGGACAATACTTTTCGAGGAGATAGCTTGTTCCAGGAATCTTGCGCGGGCGATTTGCGGGTGCCTTTCGGGTGCCTTTCGGGTGCTTTGCGGGTGCCTCAGAAGTGCCTTTCGTGTGATGTTGTTTTCTTTCGTCCCTTTCTCATATTGTGTCCCTCTTGCCCCTTTTGTCCCCTTTGTCCCCTTTGTTCCTTTTTGTCTCCTTTGCCCCCTTTTTCCCCTTTTGTCCGCTTTGTCCCTTTTTGTCCCCTTTGTCCCTTTTGTTCCACAGGCCTCTTGGATGTCTCTTGGGGTTTCATGGGGGGCCGCTTGCAGGTCTCTTGTGGAACACCTCTCGGGGGCCTCTCGGAAGCCTCTTGGGTGCCTCTGGGAGACATCTTTGGGGCGCATGTGGGCAAGGGGCTCGAAAAGTCCCTTCGTGCCCCCCGTCGCGGGGGCGGCTAATTGGGCCCCTCTCGGCGGCTCTTGGGCCGTCTTGGGGCGATCTTTGGGCGCTTCTTGGACCGTCTTGGACGCCTTTGAGACCGAGCAGGCAGATGGGCGAAAGCTGTACAAACACTTAAGGGATTTACGAAACGGTGGCTTCTTGGGCCGGCTCCGAAGTTCGACGCGCATGCCCCGAGCCACGCTCCTGGGGCCTTCCTGGAAAATTCGCGCGGGAAGCCCAAAACGTCTCGCGGGGAGCCCCGAGAAATCCATGAGTTGGCGGTCCAGGCCACTTGGAGAGAGCGCCGCAGCACTCGCCATGACACGCTCTTCCAGCAGGGCCAGTCAAACCGAGCCTTTGTTCACCGCAGCCGTTCTTGGCCCGGGCCAGGTCGCGGGCCCTGCTGCTGGGCCCGGCGCCCCGCCGGCTCCTCGCCTCAGGGCGATCCGCGATGGCAGCGGCCAGTTGATCTCCCAGCTCCAGGCGCTCAGCAGGAGCCGCCCGCAGGCGCCAGCGGCGATCCCCGTGCTCTTCTTCGAGGGCCGCCCCGGCGAGAGCGAGCGGCGAGAGAGGAACCGCGCGCGCGATCCAGTGGCGCTGCCGCGCGCGCCCGCCACCGCGCTCGCGCGGTCGCCTTTTTTGGGGGGGGGCTTGCGCCAGGAGACTCTCCGCTTTCATCGCCTTCCCTCTTCCCTTTCATCGCCTGTCCCGCTCCCTCTCCCTCTTCCCTCTTCCCTTTCCCTTCTCTCTCTCCCCTTTCCCTTTCCCCCTTGCCTTTCCCCCCCCCTCCCCCTGCCTTTCCCTCTCCCTCTTCCCTTTCATCGCCTTTCGTTTTCATTTTTGCATTCTCCTTTCCGCTTTTCCTTTTCCTTCCCCTTCTCGTCGCCGCCCAGATCATGCCTCTTCGATCGCTGGGAAGTGCGGAAGAATACATGTTGATGCGAGGAGTCTTCAGCGAGGGGCGCCACAGCAAGCCTGATGTAAGTCTGCGCGTAGCGAACAGCACAGTGCAGCAGCGCGCGCGGCGGCATCTGCGTTTTGAAACCCTAAAAAGGGCTCTTCGAATTTCCTTCCGGGGCGCGTTCCGGAGGAGCCCTTCCGGAACGCGGTGTCTCCCGCCACTGCTTAGGAGAACATGGTTAAGGGCTTGACTCGCGTGCGGTTTCGCCCTAGAGTCCTCGCCCTCTTCATTTTCTCTTGTGCAGTTGCCTTGAGCGTGGCCTTCGCTGCCTCTTGGCATCTTCTTTCTTCGGTATCTCGCGCGCTGCGGTTGGCTCGAGACAACGAACTGCAAGGTGCGATTTGGTTAAAAAGTGCACTCAGGGCAGCGTGGCCTTAGCTGCCTCCCCGGGCGCGCTGCGCCGCCATATTCTCGTTGTCCTTGCTGCTGCTCCCTCGGCGGCGGCTCCGTCGGCGGCAGCGCTGACTGGCAGGGGGCGCATTCTCAGGGAAGGAACGGAAACGCAGAGACTTGGTCACAGACACGAACTCATCTGGCGCTGGATGCGTCGAGGAGCCCCAATCATTGCTTCGCCAGGAGCGACAGGGCCTTCTGACACGCCTGCCGCTGCAAGCGCGGTGGCGGATGGAAGCCTGGAGCTGTTGCCGGGGCATCGTTTCTCGCTGGCGCCGGAGGGCGGGGCCAGGGGGCCCTACCGCGGCAGCCTCCAGGCGCGCCAGGTGGCAGCCATGAGCAGTTCCCTCGATTTCATGGCGGTGCATCAAGTCACGGGGCCGGCTGGGGCAGTCACCCTCCGTATCTCGCAGCGGTACCTGGTCGGCGAGCTGCACCGGGTCGTAGAGGAGTCAGCGCGGGGCCCCGCCGCGCCAGGGCGCCGAGCGCCGCGCCGGGATCTGCGCCTCCCTCCGACGAGCGGCGGTGCGAGGCCCTTCTCGCAAGCCCCAGTCCGCCCACTTGCCATGACAGATCCAGCGGGCGAGGACCTGCCTCCCACCCAGCCGTATCCGTCGCAGGTGGGACGTGCTCGATGTATACACCCTGCCGTCTGTTCGCCGCGCGGTCGCCTGGGGTGGCGGTGGTTTGTTGACGCCCCAGCTTCCCACATGATGGGGGGTCCAGGCCTCAATGTACCCTTTCTCCGCCTTTTCCTCCCTTCCCCCGTTTCATCGCCTTCCTCTGTCCCCTGTGTTCTCCTTTCCCCCTTTCATCGCCCTCTCCTCGTTCCCCCTTTCGTCGCCCTTCCTCTTCATCGCCTTTCCTTGTCCTCTTTCATCGCACTTCCCTCCCTTACCCCCTCGTTATCCTTTCCTGTTCCTCTCCTTGTTCTCTCCCCTTTCATCGCTGTCCCCTCCGTTTTCCCTTTCCATCGCCTTTCCTTGTCCTTTCCCTTCCCCTCCCCTTTTCATCGCCTTCCCCTCCTTTCCCCCCTTTTGTCGTCTTTCCCTTTTCCTCTCGTTCTCCTGCCCCCTTTGTCATCGCCTCCCTCTCCACGCACCGGTCTCCCCGGGCGACCATGGGGCGACCAAACGACCCAGTGCACACATCGGGCCTCTCCCAGGACCCCAGACGATCAGACCTGCTCCGCGCGATGCCGGCGACGACCTGCCCCCCACCCAGCGGTATCCGTCGGTGGTCCTGGGTTCCGACCCTGCGCTGCATGGGGGAACGGAGGCCCCGCTCGCGCCGCCTGGTATGCGCTCTCGATCGCGGTCGCCCGCCCGACAGCGCGAGCCGGCCAGGAGCGCGGGGGGCAGTCCGTCTGCGGCCCCGATATGGGCCAACCGGCCCCCGTCTTCCACGCGGCCGCCCAGCGGGCCTTGGAGGATCCACCCCGACATCCCGGACGTGGTGGCAACGCTCAGTTTTGTGCAGCCGAACCACATGAGCGCCGTCGCAAGGATCGTGCAGCCGAGGCCCGACCTGAGCCTCGATCGCCTCGGCGGCCTGCGCAACCAGAGTGGGCAGTCGGTCATGCTTTTTGCAGGCAATCGGCGCGACGGAGCCACCGGCAGGCTGTGCATCCCTGGCAGCGGCAGCGGCAGGCCGAACTTCCCCCCACTCAACGCCAGGATCTGCGCCATGATTGATTGGAGCCGGACGCCAGCAGCACCGGATAAGGCCGTACCCACTGTCGCCTGGTGGGTGCACGGGGAGGCCCCGGCAGATCCCACGAGGGCCGCGCCCGTCTCCCGGTTCACGCTGCACAGCTGGCCGTGAGCGCGTAGAGCAGTCGCGCGGGGCGGTCCTGGCATGGCCCTTTGTGCACTCAGCCACGGTTCTTCTTTTCCTTGTGCATGATTCTTTCTTCCTTCCTTACCTCAAGGCGGCCTGCGGTCCCTCCGTCCTTCCTTCCTTGCTTCCTTCCTACTTCCCTCCCTCCTTCCTTCCTTCGTTCGTTCCTTCCTTCCTTCCTTCCTTCTTTCCCTCCTTCCTTCCGTCTCCCAGTTCACGCTGCACAGCTGGCCGTGCATGATTCTTTCTGGCCCAACTCGGACCATAATTGCCCAAGCTCCGCCTGGTCACAGCCTGGCCTTCGCCCATTTTCAGCCCAGGCGGCGCGGCGTAGCCGTCCCCCTGGTCTGCGGCGGCGCGATTTCGATCTGGCCGCGGGCAGCTCGTCCTCCTCGCCAGCCTCCCCCTGCTCTCAGAGCCCCGAGTCATCCGGGGTAACTCGGGTCAGGGTTGACTCGTGTTCGTTTTTTGGGAATCCGAACCCGAGTTACCCCGGACCCGAGTTACCCCGGATAATTCGGGCGCCCAATGCTCTTCGGAGGGGCGACGTGGAGCGGGGTGCAGACTCGGGGGTGCATCGAGATCGGAGGTTTTCGGCGCTCTCGCTGGCTCTCCGCCGAGTGTCAGCCTCGGGGGTGCTCTCCAGCAGCCGCGCCTCGCCGAAGGGCGTCTAGGGGTGCCCGGATTGCCCCGAAGGGCCGCCGGAGAGCCGAGTTATGACCCGAAAGCAAGGGGGCGATGTGGGGGGGGAGATGGGCCCAAGGCGGGGCGCATCGACCCCCTGATCGCCCGTTGATCTCCGACGGGGGCTCGATAGCCCACCCCGCCCAGGAGCATGCGGATTCGCTATCGGGGGCCTATCGCCGATCTATCCACGATGTATCGCCGATTCCAGGTCGACGTTTCCCTCACCTGAGCCTGTTCCCCCTATCACTGCCCCTCAGCTCTTCACCGTTTCGACTAGATGTAAGAGTGATCGTTCGCTGGAGTGACCCTTGATGCGGGCCCAATGGTGTCCCCTGATCGCCGAACGCGATGCAGTAGTAGCGTCTTGTGCGCTCGTGTTTGGTCCCCTCGCGCCCCAAAAAAGTTGCGCACCAAAGGTCATTCTTGCCCAGGGGTCGCTCTTGCGTGCAGCCGACCCTTGACCTCATGTTCCTCCGCGCCCCTTTGCCGTCGTCGTTCTGGCTCAAGTCTGCCGGTGGGGTGAAGGACGGCACCTCTGGAACCGGTCTTGTCCATTCCATTACATTTTGACTATATGCGATGACGCCTCCACGGAACCACTGCCGCCCCCTGCCTTCCGAGGCTTTTGTGGTCGGCGGCTAGGTGGGTCCTCGGCGTCACCACAACACACTAGTACTATGTGGGCGTCGCCCCCCTTGAGGCGACGCGCGCACCGAGAAATCTTATAGTATATGCTCCGTGGCGGGCGCTGTCTGTCCATACCGCTCGGGAAGTGATCGAAGAGATGGGAGGACTAACTCGGGCCGGGTCGGGTCGGACAAGGAGGACGCATAGGACCAGTATGTTTTTGAGCGTCCCAGGGTCCAGCAGACGCTCAGGCTACGATGGTAGACGTGCGAAGCGAATGGAAAGCTGCCTTCCCCAAGTGCTCCCACGAGGGCGCGAAGTTATTCGCGCTTCGCGGTCCTCGTTCCTTCTCCCCCTCCTCCTCGTCCTCCTTTTCTCCGTTTTCGGGGGGGGGGGCGCGAGAGCGCGAAGTTACTCGCGCCTCGCGCAGCGCGAAGCGCGAAGTTGGAAGCCCTAGTTCCCAGACATCTGACGATACAAAGTGCGGCCCAAGAGTTCCCGACCAGTTCCCTGGGGCCGGTGTTCCGTCCCGCGCCCAGTGTTTGCTGGCCCCAAGGCCCGAGGGTGTGCCCCAGGGGCCGACATCGGGGGAGGGCACTCCCAGGCTGGAAAAGTCATGCCGCGGGAGATCTGTACTTGCGGCCACAGGCTGGGCCGAAGTCTGGGCAAGCCACTGAAGCACAAGAGGGAAGGGGGAGCTCCAGGAGGCCTCCTTGGAAAGCCTGCAGTGCGTCGCGGCGCGGCTAAAGCCGCCGTGCATCACCTGCGGGAAGCGGCCCTGGACGACAGTCGCACGCCCGACATTGGAAGTGCAAGTGCGACGCCACAGCAGGCACATCAAATGAGAAACTGGCCTGGCGGCAGGGGCCCCATACAGGTTCTTAATCTCAGATGGCCCAGGGGACCCTGGAAGCCCTGGGCACCTAGGCACCCCAGGAAGCTCAAAGCTCGACGGCCAAACGTGCCCCTAGATTTCTGTATAGCAAGATTGGTTGATCGTGCGCGTCTAATGTAGCACGTCCCCCCACCGCGCGACGCTTGCCAGAGGGCGCCGCGGCCAAGGGGAGGGCCATGCTCAGCACAGGACTGCCCAGCCCCGGCGCACACGGCGCGCTGAACAAGAAGACGCGGTAGAAGGTCGCTTCGCTCCACACAAGGAGCGACGCGACTGGAGTGTTCGGTGCCGTAGACGCGGCAACGAGCCATCGCGCGCGCAGGCGCGAGGCGCCATCACTGACGGCCACCTGTTTGGTGAGGCTTCGGGCTGCGCACAGACAGCCCCCCCGGGTAGCCCCAGCTGGCCTCAACAGGATCCCCGAGTAGGCCGGGGCGGTCTCGGCACCCTGGCGCCGCCTCCCGCGATGCCCCTCGGGCGCTCCGCACCCTCGGGGTCGAGGTGTTGAGTTGTGCTCCATCCGGAGCCTTCCCTCACCGTCTGCATCGCGCACGGCATAGGGTTTTGCGTTGTCGAGGTCGACGCAGGCGCGGAGTATTGGCCGAGGCGGGCGGTAGGAAGCGCGCTCGGTCAACCCATCAGAGGAGCACGAGGTCATCATACGAATACGTTTAATGATTTCCATGTTTTTTCAGATTCACTGATGTTCCACACGGGCTGCAGAAACGAGGGCCGCAACATCCCCTGGCATTCCTGGGCCAATCGTACCATTGGAACGCGTCCTGCTCTCATCGCATCGTGACATCACTCGCGTCCTGGCCACGTTCGTGGCGGAGCGTGGTCCAAATAGGAGATCTGGCGCGGGGCCCTGCTGGCAGCCGTGGGGCCCTCTGTGGGCCCGCCGGGCGGCTCTCTTCTTGGGGGGGGGGGGGCCGTCCTGTGACTGCTCCGAGGCCACGCCCAGGGCAAGTCGGCTACACGTGCAGTGGAGACCCATGCCAAGAAACACCCTGCTTCCCACCAGGGTGCCCTGGGTTTCTTGGGTTCCGATGGTCTCGCGATGGAAAGCGTGACGTTCCCCAACCGAAAACCAGTGGACGTCCTGGGGTCTCAGGGTTGGGCTTCTTGTGGAAGGTTTCTAGTGGACTGACCTCCGCTGTAAGAGTGACCCTTCTCAGGAGTGACCGTTGGTGCTGGGCCGTTGGGGTCCCCCCATCGCCGAACTCTGCCGAGCGCGATGCGGTGGAGGCGGCTTGTGCGCCTGGACTTGGCCCCCCGGCGGCCCCCAGAAGCCGCGCACCAAACGTTACTCTTGCCTGGGGTCACTCGTGCGTGTAGCCAGGCAAAGTCAGAGGGGGACGGGCTCAGGGGGGGCATGTCGTCGCTAGGTTTCGAGGGGTCCCGAAGCTGTTCGAGGTCCAGGGCGGTTTTTGTCAGCTGCGCCTCATCGAGGGTGTTCCCAGGGGACCAGGATCGTTCCGAACGGCTGCTGGAGGCTCGAGTTACGGCCCGAGGGTCGCTCGAATGAGGGGCAACGTTAGGGTGGATAGGCTCATGGGGGGGATGCATCGGCCCTCCAATCGCCCATTCCTCGCCAGTAGGAGCCTCATGGCCCACCCCGCCGAGGGACGTGCGAAGTCGCCATCGGGGCCTACCGCCGATCTATCCACGATGTATCGCCGATTCCAGGTCGATGTTTCCTCCCCCTGAGCTGGTCCCCACTGCCGTTTCCCTTCACACGTGTGTGTCTTGTGGAGCCGTCTTCAGGCCTGATTGTGGCGCCCCCTTGGGCCGTCTTGGGGTTCTCCAGGGGCTCTTTTGGGACGCTCTCGGGCCCCTCTTGGGCTAGTATGGGTCTTGGGGCTACCCTTCGGCCCTGTTACCGATCTTGCGGCGATGCTTCGGCTATCTCGGGCCAGCGTGGGCGTCGTGACGCGGGAGAGCCCGAGAAACGACAAGTATTGAAAACCACATGCTGCTTCAGTGTGTCTTGCTCCATGTCGGCACGGCGAAAGCGCTCCCGATGCGCTGCCGGTGCGCCTCCGTGGCCTCTTGGGCCGTCTCGGGGCCAGAGTCGGCGGCGAGCCCGGGGGAGAGGTGAGAGGGCGCAGGCCCTCTCAGAAGGCGGCGGGGCTCCTCGGAAGCCATGGCACGGCCTGAGAAGTTTCTTTCTCCCTCCTCGCGGAAAGCTCGGAACACTTCTCGGAAGGCTGGAGGCCTCTCAAGCCTTCTGCGAAGGCCCGCCCGCCCCCTCTGCTTCCGCCCCCGAGCTCGCCGCCGAGTCCAAGGGGCGCGGCTGTGAATACTCGCGGCCCCGGCGCTCCTTTTGAGCTTGACTTCCTGGCCCGGAGCGCGCGCACGCGGCAGCAGGGGGTGGTGCTGGCGGGGGGCTTAGAGCTTAGAGGGGCCATTCGTCGAAGAAGCGCAAGCACAGATCAAGGCGCGTGGATTATTGATGGGCCCAGCCTGCAGGCAGAATCGGCCCGGTCCGTCGCCAAGTCGGGCGGCACCTGCCCCCGTGTTCCAGGGGGGTACCTCCCCCGATGCGTGGATCTGGCGCCGACGCGCCAGACCCGCGGATCCCTAATCCGTGGTAGCGCGCGCTTGAATCTGTCATCTCGCATCCATTGACAGCCAAAGCAAAAAGCCCGTCGCTCGGACCCCGCGGCGGAGCTCGTGGGCCGACCTTGGGGCTTCGATGGGGCGCTGTTGGGCCATCGTGGAGCCTCTTGGGCTACCGAGGGGTCTCTGGGGGCCATCTGGGGGACTCTTGGAT